CCCCCCCCTTATCCCTCCCTTCCCACCCATCCTCCCCAGTCCCTTTCCCTTTGGTAACTGTTAGTCCATTCTTGGGTTCTGTGCTTCTGCTGCTGTTTTGTTCCTTCAGTTTTCCTTTGTTCTTATACTCCACATATGAGTGAAATCATTTGGTACTTGTCTTGTCTTTCTCCACCTGGATTATTTCACTGAGCATAATACCCTCTAGCTCCATCCATGTTGCTGCAAATGGAAACCCTCCTGCTTTTTAAAAAATTTTTTCTAATTACTATTCTATCAGTTCTGGCCGAATTACTAACTGCTCTAAACACTTCCAAGTAAAGAAAATAAACAAGGAAAATATGTAATACATGAAATACAGAAATACAATTCATTAATATATACATTACAATAATTCAATGATGTATATATTTTTAATAATTGTTAAGATAATGATTTAACTTCCATTTGATGTGTGTAGAGCACTTATGAAAGACCCAGGGCAAATGGCTCGTGGCTCCCTAGGGCAGGTTTCCCCAGTGAAGCCCACAGACTTCCACTATCAGAATCACCTGAGGAGCTTGCTAAACTCGTAATCTAATGGAGTCCAAGAATCCAAATATTCAAACTCACCCAAGGTGACTATGTCTAGTCAGTAAAGCCTGAGAACCACACCCAATAAATCAAGTCATAAGAGCCATTCTTAGAAGCAGAGCCTGTTTCCACGTACCGCCCCCTCACTATACCTGTCACCCATATCTACTGCTGGAGTAAATGGGTTTCAATCCATTGCTGTATTCAGCTGGAAATGCTCTCTTCAATTTGACATGTTTCTGCCCACATGCTCCCTCTTCAGCTACACTCACTACTCACAGCACAGTCAGCTCCCAGGCATGCCCAGCACACCTTCACTCGGGAGGACTCACCTGCAGGAAGCCGCCGGGAGGAGGAGACCTGCCCACTGCTTATTCATTGTGTGTAGGTGTCCCCACAGCTCAGTGGGAAGTCCTTAATCTCTTATTGTTAGATGTGAGCAATAATATTTCTCCAAGAATGCTCATGACTGACTCCAGTTAATGGAAGTATATAGTTAATCTTTAAAAATATTCACCCTGGTTGACTTGAGATTGCCAGTAACTTCTCTCTTCAAAGGTTGGTTCCTTCTTGGGATCAAAAATTAGAAAGTCTGTCTTGGTACCACCAAATCTCAGGTATGCAGGAGACAAACCTTTGGCCAAAGTACGAAGCTTTGGAGAGCTGTTATGGAGACAAGCAAGAAATTAGAATGTTTTTTTCCCAAAACAATCTAGCCAAACATGTTTCCTCCCTTCCCTCCTGGTGGACCTATTTCTTAATATCTAGCCATACAGGCCTTGGAGGGGAAAGTCATACTGGGGAATCATCTCAGTCTGAATCTCTCTGTTTGCAAGGTTGCTCTTCTAGGTGTCTGAAGGCAACTTGGTGCTCTAACTGTGGCAAGAGCTTGTATTTTAATTGACAAGTAGGATAGTGTTTGGAAATTGCAAAAAATCATAACCTTCTATGATTGATGGAGGAACAGAGGTAAAAGAGTGGAAACTACAGGGAAGATGACTCTGTGTTTCTTTGAAAAAGAGATGGTCTTCAAACATTCATATTCTCAGAGAAGTTCAGAAGTAATTTAACATTCCTCCTCTCCCTAACCTCCCTCCCCAAGGGAAACTATCCTTTTACATTTAAGTGAAATAACTTAGAATTATTTAAGATTCTAATTCCTAACACTGACATCTCCAATTTGAGCAATTCTAAATGCCTGTCTCATAAAGCTCCAGGGCTCCTGAAAGGTGCCTATTAGGTCCTCAGAAAGGTACCAAGTGCTATAGAAAGGAATCAGAATGACTTATAATTCCTTCCCTCAGAAGATGAAAATGCCATGAATATTTATGTGAACCAAACTAAGAAAACATTAGACCCAGTTAGCAGGGGCACCTGTGGTACATCCAGGAAGGCTCACATATGTGATCCTGGCTACTCTGCTTTCCAAATCCTCTGAAAAGAAATAAAACCAATGCTGTGTAGTTCTTGGAACAGTTGAGTTAATTAGTTTGCAGGCGGGCTGATTTCAAACTGGAAACTCATCCCAGGAGAACTATTGAACTGCCAAGTCTTTTGACATCCTAGGAATCAAATGCCTGACCTGAAATACGGAATATGAAGATGTTCTTCTGCTTAACTACATGCGTAAAATTTTCAAAAGGTTTCTTTATTTGTACTTAGGAAAGAGGAATTAAAAGACAGAAACTGACCAAAAGATAAGTCTCCTGCATTAAAAACTTCAGGGATTCTCCTCATCAACTTTTTGTTTGTAACTTGAGAGCTTTTTACTATGCTCCCTAACTAGGCACCTTTGCCTTCATGAGCCTCTTATTCCATAAACAAAAAAACACTTAGAAGTGTATTTTATGATGATGTTTATAGAAAGACAAATATGTTCAGTTATATATTAAAACATTTTCTTTGACCTAAACATTCATTTCTTTAGGTCTTAGGGACTGTCTTGCCAATGGGTTTCAGCCCTGGGCAAGTTCGCTATGGATTCAATGTGACCAAGGAAATGACAGAACGTTCTTAGGGTGAAAGGGTGATACCCAACTCTATTTCCATGGTGGCAGGTTAATCACTAACACCCCATCCACTCAGAGTGAGTCTGCACACAGCGAGCTGGTCTCTGAGTCTGGGCCTCTCTGCCCGTACAGGCGTCCTCTGGCTCTGTCTTGGCGCTGCCACCACTCCAGCCTCTGCTCTGCTCTCCTGCAGCCCCACCGCCCCGCCACCATGTCATGCCCAGAGCACTGGGCAGAGCTCTTTATATAGAGTCAATAGCAAAGTATTGCCCACAGGTGTGCAGGGAGCTAGCCAACCAGGGCCAGGTGAGAATCCTAGCCACAGGAATTTTAATTTTATCCACAGGGACCTTAGAATATTTTCATGGGCCCCTTAAACACACAGTGGGTCCTGGCATGAGCAAATGCAGCAACAGGTGAGCCTCAGAAATGCTATCAACCTGAAATTCTCCCTGGCTCAAAGACCTGACAGGAATGCTAAGAAGGATGGCATCTGCCAGGGGAGCCTCAAAACCACTTGAAGATAAACAGAAATGCTAACTTGGACTAAGTAAGGATTCAGAGGAGAACTATTTCCACTTTGTTACAAACCCAAGTAAAATAAACTGTAGGGAGGAGGAAGAGAGCATTATTATTTAAAGAGTACAAAGCCTGAGTTTGGGAAGATGAGAAAGTACTAAGATGGACAGTGGTGATGGTTGCACTGCAGTTTGAATGTAGTCAATGTTAGTGAACTATGCACTTTAAAATGGTTAAGTTAGTAATCTTATGTTTGGTATATTTTACCACAATAAAAAAACAAATTGAGTACGTAGTGTGATTTTAACAATGAAAATAATATTTTTGAAGAAGATAACAGGTGTCATTATATGGGGAGATGGACAGTAGACTCTTCTATTGCTTTTCTGCATTTTACAAGTTTTTCATAATAAGCACATGATATTTTAATTTATTCAAGGTAGTTTTGTGCGTGTGTGTTAGTTTTTTAAGAACAGGTGAAGATTTATTCAAAGGAGACATAGACATCTGTTAATTTATTCAAAAAAAGATTCATTGCAGGCCCACTCTGCCAGGCATTATGCTAACTGCTAGAGATACAATGACAAATAAGACAGAGATAGCTGTTGTTCTCATATAATTTATAATCTAGCAATATATACAAACAAGTAAATAGGCAATGTCAATACAGTGCTATGAGAACAGACAAAGGGGATCCTGACCTGACTTTGAGCTGAGGGTGGGGGTGGTTAGAAGTTTTCCAGGGAGGGTGAAGTGGCTTCACTATTGGACATTCAAAAGGAATAAATCCTACCCAGATCAAAGACAGTGAGGTGGGACTGGAACAAGTGTTCCATGTGTAGGGAAGTTTGTGCAAAGACAGAAATAGAAGAGAATATGGCACCACTGAAGAGCTGATGGGTGTGGCTAGAGCCTAGAGATTTGGGGCAGGGAGATGTTGAGAGAGGTTAAACTGGAGAGGCAAGCAGAGCCATGTCACAGAGGACCTGTAAGCTCCCGTGTCTGGGAGTCCAACTTTATACAAGAGCAATGGGGAGCCATGGAAGGACTCAGAGCTGTGTAGTGGCCTCATCAGGCTTTTCTTTTGAGGAAGAATCTCAGGCTGCGGTGTTCACTTACTGTGGTCATGTTAATGTGGACAGAAAGTGATGAGATGAGGTAAGGTGACAGAGTGGATGGAGAGAAGTGGATAAGTTCAAGACACACGTGGATATATAAATAATACTAGATTTCGTGTTCAATTGGACATTGGAGAAGAGTCAAGGATTTTTCCTGGGAAGCATCTTGGAAGATGGTATTATTTGCTGAGATGAAGAGTAAGTGATAGATTGGAGATAGGGATGAAGGCAGGTGTGTGTGTGTGTGTGTGTGTTCAGTTTTGCAGAATTTAAGATCCTAATGAAACACCAAAAAACTTATTTCCATCAGGCCCAGCCCTGTGTGTCTGGAGCTCAGGAGACACACCCAGGTGAGGTATAGCACGGAGAATCCTCAGTCTACAAGTCAGGGGCTAGTAACTCCCAGCCCCAAGGTGCAAAGACATGGCCCTAAAACTGATAAAAGGAGCTCCTTCAGAGACACTCCAGGCTGGCTCTCCTCCTCTGCTTGGCCAACACTGCTTCTGGGCTTGGCATTTTGACTGTGCTTGATGATAGTGGAGGATCATTTACCAGAGCCGGCCCGCCTCCCAGAGGGCGTGGCGGTAGCACCTTGAGTCACACTCAGTCACATCTCACTGCCTTTACTTTCTTCACAGCATCCACCACTCTCTAAAATTAGCTTCCTTGTTAGTTTCCCTGGTTTCTTACCAATCCCAGGCCCCACCCCAATGTCAGCTCTGTGAAAGCAGGGGCTTCACACATGAGGCCCATCAGAATTTCCTCGGTGCCTGAATGAGGACCTGGCACACAGCTAGGGCTTAGTAAGTGTCTGTTAAGTGAATGAACACTGGAGACCAGCCTGATGAAAGGGCAAGTGGGGCCAGACAAAGACTGTTTTCTCAACTAAATTAGAACCCAACACCATGGCTCCTGCCAAGTAAAGGAAATCATGTGCATCAAAGTTATTAGTATTAACGATGGTTTTGTTTACCACCTTTGCAATGGAACATTACCTTGTTTTGGCCTATGACAAAATAGTAATGCCCTATGACAAAAACAATTAAAAACACCTGCAAAACCTGTCATGAAAACAAAACTTATCAAAGGTACAGTACTTCTATCATATATAGGAAAAAGAAATGGGGAAAAATCTACCACTACCATAGTGACACGGAAATAATGAAAGAACACATGAGCACAGCTGCAGACATGCCATTTCTGGAGTTTGTTAGGGGAAAGACAAGTCTGCAGGTATTTTGATTTTCCCTTCTGTGCAGAAACAAGCTGTTTACACAAAAGCAGAGGAGTACTGGAGCTGGTCTGGACCAGCCTGTGAGAACCAGTTGTTAGATTTTGAGAACCAGTTGTTAAACTGTTGGCACTTTGACATTGGCCCTGGAGGGAGTACCCATACCAGAAATCATAAAAACAAATCAGTCTCCCCTCCTCCCAGGGAGCCAGATGTCAAACATTTCCTAGCACACAGAGGCCATAGTAACTGAAGCCAGCGAAGTGGGTGGGACCACTCAGAAGACTATGTGAAGTGAAAGAAAGCCTAGGTCAGAAGTCTGAAGAACATCAACATTTAAGACAAGCTAGAGGAAGAAATGGAAAATAACGTAGGGAGGTGGGGGAAACCCCTGGAATTGGAAGTGACACAGATCCGAAGGGATGAGACAGTGTTTCAGTTTTCAACCTTGCCAAATACTTCCAAGAGACTCTTAGTTTACCAGGGCTGCAATAACAAAATACCACAAAACCCAGTGGCCTAAGCACCGGAAATCTATTGTCTTATAGATTAGGAGTCAAGAAATCTGAAATCAAGGTGTTGGCAAAGCCGTGCTCCCTCTTTAGTTACTGGGGAAAGATCTTCTGGTAGTTCCTTATAGCAGCATAACACTAGTCTTCATATGGAATTCTCTCTGTGTGCCTATCTGTCTCCAAATTTCCCTTTTTCATAAGGACATCATTCATACTGGATTAGGGCACATTCCATTCCAGTATGACCTGTTCTTAATTATGTCTACAATGACACTATTTCCAAATCAGGTCACATACTTAGGTACTAGAGGTTAGGATGTCAACATACGAATTTGGGGGGGATGCCCAGAAATTCAACCCATAGCAGGCACCAAATAAGATCAGATTGAAAGGTATTCATTGGATTTTGCAGCAAAAGAAGGTCACTGATGATGTTGGAGAGACTGGTTTTATGACACAATGATAGGGACTTCATGGGGGTAGAACAAGGAAGAAATGGGCAGTAAGAAAGACTGCAAAGGGAAGGAGAAAAAGAGGGGGTTAACTGCAGAGGCACATGTGCAGGGAGGTGTTTGAGATGGTGAAGACTAGAGGATGTTTCTATGCTGAGAGGAAAGATTCAATAAGAAAGGAGAGGCTGGAGACACAGGGAAGAGACAAGGTGATTGATGGAGCAAAGTCCTTTGGGGATGCAGGATGGGGAACAGGATTCAGAGCAGAGTTAGAAGAACTGGCCTGAGAAGAAAGGAAGGGAGAAAGCTACACATAGCCATGGTATTTCTGCAGGTTTGGTGGCAGGAAGAAAAGGAACTTCCTGCCTAGGGATGTCATTTTCTTTGGGAAACAGAAATGTGGTCATAAGCTAAGAGTGATAAGGTGGAGGTGGGAGCAGAGATTTGAAGGAAGTAGAGAATGAGAGAGGCAGGACATGAAGAGTTCAGGGGTAGCACTAAGGGCCAAGTAGGTCTGGAGGCCAAGAATTTGTAGTGAAACATCAGTCCATGTGACAGGAGCATTCCTCCTGGTCTCCAAGAACTTGACAGCTCAGCTATATAGGGTGGCCACTACGACTGGAAGCAGAAGCAAATACATAAAAGTTGTTTATTAATAATATGCATTACAATCATGATTAGATAATATTTCCCGTTTCCAGACCTTACGGCCACCTAATAGATCCCAAAGAGAGAAAACACAGTTGTACTAAGCAAGGCTTGGGTTTTAGCAAGAACACTGGGGCAACAGTTTGGAGATACTATCACAGAATGACTCGTGGTAAATCAAGAAGCCCAAATCAGATGTGTTAGAAGTAGAGAGAAGAAGAGGCTGTTCAGTGAAGGTACTTGAAAAATAGTTATGGTGTGAGTCAAAGAGTAAAAGAGCTAAGAGGGTAAGGACTGTGGTCCAAGAACAGAAGATTTTAACTTCAGATTTCAGTGGTTGAAAGGTTCTTAGATGAAAAGACTCAAGGCTTGGCCATGGCAATAGGAGGCTGAGATAGAGTGAAGCAGTGTGTGCTAGTAAGCTGGTGCCCTAAAAATGTGCCCTGATTTTTAGTATTTGCCAATATTTGCTAAGTATTCCCACCAGGGTGGGTCTTAGATACCAGGTTGATGTCACTGAATGCGGAGCTGGGAAGAGATGACTACAAGCTGGTGCAAGCTGGTTCCAGTACAACACTGAGTGAAGATTATTTAAAAACATGGGTGTGAAGAAATGGACAGTTTATTCAAGTGGACTTGAAGTCATTCAGGATGACGATGGGATGTGGGAGTGGACAGGAAACTGAGATCAGTGCCAATCTTCAATCAGTAAGGAGGAGTGAGTAAGAGGGGTATGTCAGAGTGCACTGACAAGGAGCGCAGTATGAGAGCCGGGCTTGGGACGGTGAAGCTCACGCTGGAGTCGAGCAGTCCTTGCAGGCATGCAGCAGGTTCATCCAAGTGAGTGTTTTAGACACTGCATAGGTTACTTCACTTCAACCCATTTATACACAAGGAACCTGAATAGAAGGAGGCAAGTGATTTGCCCAAGGTAACAAGCCACTAGGGATTTGAACTACAGTAGTCTGGAGTTCAAACTGGTGGGCAATCATCTGCAAGCTACACGGGGGAACGGGAAAGAGCTGTAGCGGGAGAGAAAGTGCAGCTTCTGCTCCAAAGGGCCACTTCAGAGAAGCAGCCACATCTACTTCTCCACTTGGGTTGACAGAGGAGAGCCACAGTTTAGATAGGGCAGAGAGGTGGGGGGAATATTCTATGAGGAGGGTACAGCAGGGTTATCATGTGAAGAGAGACAATGACAGGTGTAGGAGGGAAGGGAATGATGAGCATCCATCAGGGGTGGAGTACTCTCAGGGCTCAGAAAAATCCGAATCTATATCTCAGGATTGCTCTCAGTTCTGTTTCTCTGGCTGTGGTTATTTCTCTCAGCAACAGGCATGGAGAAGGCCTGAGATTATTTCCAACATTGGCTATCAAAATGTGCACTTGACATTGCTGGTAAGTGCTTTTCCAAATATGAAAAGTAACTTCGCCAACGGAGATGCAGGAATCCGATTATTGAAAGTTATTAGTAATGAATATTTATTAAACTGGCAAAAAGGAATGAACTCTGCTGAAGAAAAAAGAGCAAATCCTTATGAACGGCACTCTTGCTGTTTACACCACTCTTTTTGCTCTGTAGAACTTAGGATCTCCACCATGGACCCCGTATGCCACTTCCTACCTTGTATTAGTGACCTGTGCATGTGTGTGTGTCTTGACTGAATGTTGATGTACTGTCATTACAGTAACCACTAGCCACATGTGGTCAGAACTTGAAATGTAGCTAGTCTGAAATGAGATGTACTGAATATAAAACATACACCAGCTTTTGAAGACTTGATTAGAAAAAGAATGTGAAGTATCTCTTTAATATTTTTATATTAATTACATGATAAAATATAATATGTTGGAATATTTTGTGTTAAATAAACTATTATTAAAATTAATTTCACCTGTTTCTTTTTACTTTTTAAACATGGCTACTAAAAAATTTTAAATTACTTGTATAGCTTGCATTTGGGACTTATATTATATTTCTGTTGAGCACCACCAGTCTTAACCTCCCATTTTTGAGGGCCAGGGCCTCTTCCCAGCTCTCCACATAGTCAGACTTAGGAAGTTCCTGATTGGCTTGTTGATTAGTTACCTCTGGGAAGAAGGAAAACTGAAAAGATGCTCCTTTCCAATTCTAGATTGTTCTCATTATTTAAGTTCTGTGTACTGTGTGTTCTCTAGCTGGACATGTAAAAAGAAAAATCTGTTTGTCATCATAGGAAACCATAACAGTGCCATCTGATTAAATTTTCTTAGGCTGCTTTTGAAGCACTTCAGAGGTTTGGGCTCTGATTTTCCTACACTCAAGTCATTGCTTATCTTCATTATATCAATCTTCTCAGTTTGTTTCTGGACAATCTTTACAGCTATACCCTATCCTACTAGCCTTTAAAAAATATAAACTTTTTTATTTTCTTGTTGCCTACTCTTGTCTCTGCAATGAGCTTCTGGGTTCAAATTCTGCTCCTTCATGTAAGAGCTGGCTGACCTGGACAAGTTATTGCATCTCTCTAAGCCTCAATCTCTTCATTTTAAAAATGGGGATAATAATAGTACTGACCTCATAATTTTGGAGCAAGGACTAAATGAATTAACATCTAGAAGATGCTTAGAACAGAGGCTGGCATATGATGAGGGCCCAATTAGTATCAGCTCTATTTATTAGCCCTCCTTAGTATTACTTCAGCTTTCATCTCCTCAGCTCTTGCTGTCTTCACCCAAGCACCTTCACCTGGAGGAACTGTAACAGAACCTTGTCCATCTCACCCTCTCCTCTGTGGACAGATACTAACCTTGGTGTTGTCTTCTGAGGTGGAAGCTAAATGCTTTGTATTTTGAGATGGCTAGGTCACTCTGGGCACTGTGCTGACACTCTTGGGGAGATGTACCCTCAGGTGCTAATTCAGAAGCGGGGTCTTTGAATAGAAGGAGAAGGAGCTCCTGCCTCTGTGAGCTGCAGTCTTTGGGGTCTCAGCTGGGAAGAGTGTGGAGCTGTCTGCAGATACCTCTGAGGTGTAGGCATGCAAGACGGCCTCTGCCATGGGAAGGGATCTGTAGTGGTCAGGAGCCACTAGAGAGAAGCTCACGAACAGAAGTACACTGTTTTGAAAATTAACAAAACAAACAGTTTTATCTATTGCATGTTATGCTCTGTAGGTTTTCATTATCCTCCAGTCTTTAACAAAATGTCTGGGTTGGGGTGGGGGGGAGAAAGGGTGGACTAGATGACCTGGGACTGTCCCCACAGCTCCTTATCTTGGGAGAGCCTGCATTCACGGGACAGGGCCAGTGAACCTGTATCAGCCTCAGTTCTCAGGTGAGGAAAATGTGTCAGCTGGTATAGCAGCGTCCCCCATTCTGCAGTCTCATCTTGGAGAGGCAGCTTTGTATTCAGGCTCTGTAAGTCACTGCAACAGTCTCCCAGGTCTCATATAAAATTTGGATTAAAAAAAACTGTACTCTGAGAAATCTCTGTACCTTGCACAAAAGTGCTCTTTAAAAGTTTTTATATATAAACTTATATGGAGTATATAAGCTTTACATGAAGCATAAAATTACATACTTATAATGGAGTGAGCTTACTCTCTTTCAGGCCTTTTCCATCTTTAAAAAAAAGTCCACCTAGTCCAAGGTCTTAGGTGTCCTACACTGGGCAATAGATCGAAGCGCTCACAGCCCTCCAGGTGCACTTGCCCAGGTCCCCATCTCTGGGCGCGCTGCTGAGAGAGGTGGGAAGTTTCTTTTCCAAATTTCCCCTTACTAACTGAAGGCGGGAAGGAGCGGTTTGATGTAGGCTGCCGAAATAGAGCTGGGGGGAGGAAGGGAGAGAGAGACCGAGAGGTTCCGGGACTGAGCAGGGAAAGAATGGAGATTGGCCGTCGGGGCGCTTACCCCAGGAAGGTGAGGAACCGCGGGTCGGTGGCCAGGTTGGCGTCGATGGTGACAGACAGGAAGGCGGGACTCACCAGGTGCAGCAGCGGCTCGGTGGAGAAGTCCAGCTCCGCCGCATCCTCCGCCTGCACGGGTCCCGCCGAGGCGCCCGCCAGGAAGGGACCGAGAGGCCCCAGCAGCAGCAGAAGCGGCGGGCGCACCGGCAGCCCCGGCCTCGCGCGCAGCAGCATCTCGGGCTCACCTGGCAGCCCCGCCCGCGCGCGGCCTCCCTGCGAGAGCAGACGGCGTGCTGCCTCCGTTCGCGGTCGGCGCGCGTCTCCCTCCCCAGCCTCCCGCCCTCCCCCGGCCTCCGCGGCCACCCCCGCCCGCTCCTGGCCCTCCCCGCGCCGCGCACCCCGCCCCCTCCCCCGCCCCCTCCCAGCGCCGCCCCGCCTCCCCCGCGCGCTGCCCTTCCTTGCACGCTTTCCAGTCCGCTGCAGTCACGTCCGCTCCTGAAAGCACCCACACCCACTGAAGGGTGAGGGCCTGGCCTTGAGCCAAGCGTCCGGGAGGCCTGGGAGGCAGCGCCCGGGACGCAGCACGAGGTCCCTTGTTCGCCGGTCGCGACGCCAGCGCTTCCTCTTCCAGGTCCCATCCAGGTGGCGGTGGCGTCAGGTCTTCGCAACCTCAACTAAAGCCCCCGGTAGAGCATTCATCACTTCGCCCCACATCTGGCTTTTAAACACTTGTCACTTGAGCCTGCCCAGATCTGATTATCAGGTGTCCTTTGGCTCAACGGAGAGCTGTTCCCCAGGGACCTTACTTTTGCCTAAAAAAAATATGACCAGGTTATTAGCTCTCCTCCAGCTAGAAAAAGATGAACTTATAAAAATCAACTTGTCATGAAAAGAGCCTTGGGTATTCGGCGCACCATCTGACACTCGGGACCCAAACCTCCGTACAAGCTCAGGTTAAGGACTGCTCCTTGAATTTGGAGCCTTTAACAAATCTCCCCTTTGTTCATTTATCTTTAGATGTTGGCCAAACTTTTCTTCAGTTTTCCTCATTGATATGTAATTACAACAAGCATACATGTACTTAGGGCTCTGTTTGCCTGGTACTGAAAGAGGTGCTTTACCTGTACTGTCTCTTATTCCCACAGCTCTGCCAGGTGCATATTGTCCTCCTATTACACGTAAGGACCCAAGCTCTGGGACATTAATATGGCCAAGTGTCAGAACTGGGATGTGAAGGCAGTTGCACAACCACAAACAGACGGTGGCCTGCCTCAACTGAAATGTAACTTCCTCAAAGAAGCTTTGCCTGAACTTCCAGGCAGCCGCAGTCCTGAAGGACACACTCGCACAGCATCATGAACTTGCTAGAACTTTCCACATTTGTTAGCATTGTGAATGTTGCTACGTGCTGGAGTCATCTGCTAGATTATAAACTCCACAAAGGCAGAGATGTGGTTTGTCTGGTCTACTGTGCTCACTGACACAGCACCATGATTGGCACTTTAGAAGGCACCAAATAACACCAAAACCCTTAGAATTTTCCACTTAGGTTGCAACACCAATAAAGCAATGAATGAAAAGTGGTTTGAAATTTTATTTGACTTGCACAGATTTGTCTGTTCTTCAGCAACTTAGAAGGTAAATGTAGAGTTAATTGAGGAAGGTTACAGTTTGAAGGCTTTGTGTGTATACGTATCAGTTACTATTTTGCAACCTGAATCAGACTTACAGTCTACAATTACAGATAAGAAAAAAAATCATATATCAGCACCAGGAGATCATATGGTGGCAGAAATGGAGGCAGAAAAGCAGATGCAAAGGCTCTTTTTCTGCCTTTGTCATGACATTTGATCCTATATCCCACCACGTTGCCCCTGTTGTGGGTAAAAGTCACATCAATTACTTTGGAATATTTGGGTGATTTGAAAAGTAGATCATTGTGAATTTTCTAAATAGTAAATCCTTGTGACATGTGGGCCAGTGCAGTCCACATGCAAGTTACTAAAATGGAAACTGGGAAAACATAAATGAGGAAGTGAAGAAGAGAGATTTGCACATGTGATGATCTGTTGATTGAGATCAGATATATTGCTGGCTCCTGGATCTAGCTGGTTTGATCCACTCTGCCAGGTAAGAGGAATATATGGGAACATAGGAGAAAGGATTATGCAGTAATATTAGTAGGAATGGTTATTTCAGAGACTATATAATTAGATATGCTACATTTTTATGGCAAGTTTCAGCTTACATACATCCTAGCTAGAGACCTCTTACATGCATCCCAGCCATGCAGCTTGGAAGGGTGCAGAATCTTGGTATTTCAACCTCCCAGACCCTCAGTTTCCTCAACTGTAAAGTGGGGGTAATAATGCACAATTTACTGTGTTTTCTGAGAATTATTTAGCTTTATGTGACACACCTAGCTCCATATGCAATATTATGTAGCTGTTCAGCAGGTGAGTTTTTATTATTATTATTACTTCATTTAATCTTCACAGTAACCTTGTAAAGTAGATTTAGACTCAGCCTACTAATTCCAAGTCCAGAATTTTTCCACTACATAACCCAGATTTGGTGATCCAAAAGTTATGTGACAATAAAGATTTAGAAATAAAAATCTTCAAATGAACTAGGGCAGCTCATGTGAATCATTTAATAATTATAATGTGGTAATATTCGCATGTGGCCTAGGATTGATTGTCAGTGGTGGCACTGAGTTTTTAGGGACTCACACAACGGTTACCTGGCCAAACACTTGTAAGAACACAGACTGATTTCAGGGTGTCTTCAGAAAATAATCATTTTTTCACTTGTCTGTCTAGAAAATTAAGATTTTCCTAATGTAAAAATCCCTTAGAGGGGGCAATCTCTTAGGCATTTGTTATTCCCTCTGGGCTGTGTAAATGATATGCATATAGTATGTTGTTTTGAGTTACTGGGTTAAGGCTTACTAAAGTTAAGTTTCAGTTTTAAGTTTTTAGTGATCAAACTATACTCTAAAACAAGGAGAAACTAAAAGCAATTACATACTAGGGGCTGGAAGGAAGGAAGTTAACATGTTGAGTATGTGCTGTTCTTTAAGGTGCTTTCATTACCTGTTTATTCATACAGTCATTCAAATATTTACGGATGCCCACCATGTGCCGAGCACTGAGCTAGGTAGCAGTAAGCAGTAAGCAGGAGTGACCCCTGCACTCTGGAGTTTCTAGGCTTACTGGACAGGCAGATGCTATTTTTTAAAAAAACACACACAAAAGTAAAACTGCAAGGGTGGCAGGTGCTCTGAAGATGATTATGTCTTTACAAGTATATGCTGAGGATTTGAATTAGGGTGGGGTAAGGAAGTTCCTGTGGAGGTGATATTTAATTTGAGGTCTGAAAGATGAGCAAACAAGTGGGCAAAGGAGGGGAATCATTCAAAGCTAAGGAGATGGCAGGTGCAAAGGTGAGGCAGCACGGATGTGAGAGGACTGAGGGCTGGGGGAGCTGAATAGAGAGCAAGGGGCAGCGGGGGACATAGAAACTGAAGTAGCAGGGCCCTGTGGTATCCTTGCAGCAATGGGAGGCCATTGACAGGGCCTCTAGCCTGGTGTGGCAGATGTTATATGATCAAATTTATGTTTTACAAAGACAAACTATAGATAGTCTGTTTCCTTTCTAGTGTAGATGTCTGTTTATAGAAGATGGATGTGCACTTCTCTATAGATTTAGACAGGGTTTCTGATTTTCTTCAGTTAAGCTTACGTCTATATATACCCTATAAATATGTATTTCTCCCCATGTTCATAGGAAAGGGCATTTAGGGCCAGTCAGTGAGCCAGAACCTATCAGAGAAAGCAGGAAGTGTCCCTAGAATAAGGACTCAAAACTCCCAGCAGCCACATACCATAACCAGGTAGGTTTACTCAAAAGTTCCTGAGGAATACTGACTGCCCAATTTTGAACACCCATTTCTGGGATGATACAGGCCCTGGAAGACCCTATTAATTATACTAATGCTAAAAAAACTAATTAAGTGGTATATTGTTTTTTGTTACCCCCAGGCTCTATAAACAGTGTAAGTAATGTACACACAGACAGAAAAGGGAGAGCTCAGAAAATGCACCAGAAATAGGGAAGTGGTTGGGGTGGGGATAGAGGAAGAACACATCCTATTCTGATATTATATGTAGGCTAGACTCTACTGTGTTCTTGACTTTTCACCAAGCATCAGTTAGTTTGTGGCTCTCCCAAGAAATAATCGCTACGAAGTAGGATGGAAGTATTTCCTGCTTTGTTGAGTCTAGATAAGGAGTTATAAGGAAGGTGGCCTGGGTAGGAAACACTCCTTGTGGTAAAACCAATTTAGCACTGGTGACTGAGGCCTGGAAAGGGCTACTGTTTGCACCCAGATTGCAGCTGAAGTACAAGTTCGGGTGGTCAATTACTTCTACATCTTGTATTCAATAGTTGGTTTAGGCATGATTGTGCAATTATTTGAATATTTTGTTAGATTGTATTATTTTATAAAATGAATAGAAAATGGAAAATACAGTTGAAGAGACATATGGGTCTCATGAACTTACCTCATTTGCAACCCAGGTGGAAAATCATTAGATATGCTGATGGAGATAAATCTTTATCCTCAATTTCAGCTCTTCAGCTATAAGCAGGTCAAATGTGCATTCACTTCTGAAGGAAAAACTCTTATTAAAGAACCTATTCAAAAATGTTAGAAATAACCCTATTTTAATCCTAAGTCAAACAAATAAACTTTATAGAAAATACTGATGAGGCAATTTGGGAAACACAGACTGGATATTTAATAATATTAAACAAGTTATTGTTAATTTGTTTTAAGGTGGGATAATGGCACTGAGGCTGTTTTTCAAGAAACCTCATCTTTTAAATACACATGATGAAGTGTTTATGGGTATACTGACATGATGTTTGGGATTTGCTTCAAAATAAACTCAGTGGGAGGAGGGAATTGGGTATGGTATGGATGGAACAAAGTTGGCCATGAGTGAACAATTGCTGAAGTGGGGCAATGGGTATGCAATGTTTGCGGCAGATTTTATTTTCTAAATACAGCAGTAACAGTTTTTTCTATCCTACATGTTCTTCTGTAATTTCATTTTCCCATAGAAAGGTGGGGGTCTATGTACGTTCCCCTTGAATAGTAGGCAGGTTTGTAATTGCTTTAATTAAAAAGACATAATAGAAATGACACAGTGACTTTTGAAGCTAGCTCATAAAAGGTTGTGCAGCTCCCATCTGATTCCCTTGGTACCTTAGCTATCCAGACACCCCTCTTAGGAAGCTCCCTCTGGGAGTCCAGC